ACCGAAAGTCAAATCAAAAAGTGAAATTAAAAAAAAAATAATAATAATAATAATAGGGAGAAATAATTGTTGACGAAGAGATTGTTCCGTTTCATCCCATTTAATGAAAAATAAATGATAAAATACTATCTTATCTTAGTTGTGTTCCTTCTCTCTCTCTCGCTCCCTCTCTCTACCCCTGTCAGGAAATGTCCCAAGTTGAAGCAAAACTAAATCGCTTCAAATGAAACCCTTTTGCTATTAAGGTCAATGGAATCGACTGCTAAATACAAATAATATGATACACGAGTCGTTGCTTCATACTATAGTAATAAATATAATAAATTAATATGATGGAATGCATATGATTACAGAAACATAATCACTGAATTTATTACGTTTTTATCTAATATTTGTTACATTAAATAAGCCTGTTGTAGACTTTCACCATGTACGAGTGCCCGCTATTATATCGATGGTTAAAGTGCAAAACTGTGCAAAACCCAAAATTGTGTTTCAAAATTATTGTGTTTCAATTAAGTTTCCGTGTTTCAAAATTTCTGCCCTTGATTTATTCTTTCGAAGAGAAAAAAAAACTGTCAACCATATATTTGGAATTTTTAAGGAATATTCTGCTATTAAGGAAGAGTAATCAATAAAATTTTTAAGAAATTACGTTTATTAGTTTTGCGATGAAAAAATGAAGTATGAGAGGAAATCTACAATGCTGCAGACGGATATACATGGTCTTACACTTCAGTTAATGATGTAATAAAACCGCAAAAAATAACATTGCACATGGACACAATCACGATGACAAAATGAACATTTTACCCTCTAATTTATTAAATACTCTAATATTAAGAACATTAAGAGCTTCGTGATGTCGTAAGTTACATTTTCAAACATTATATGGACCCAGGGCAGACGCATCCATCAAATTTTGCGGCGTCTCGCCTATTAACTTGATTGACCTGAATCAATTCCAGCGGCGTGGCAAGCCTCGCGATAAATCGATTGATCTGCCATTTGACCCCACGGAAAATGATCGCTGAACACGGCGTTTGCAACGAACACCTTGATAATCGATTCTTCACCGTCGCTGCAAATGAGGGAATTATCGATGATCGATCATTTCACGTCTCGCCACGGCAATTAAGACGTTAGATGAAACGGAAAATTTCCACCGGGGAGCCGTGTGTCTTTATCCGAGTTCATTTAATGCCATTTAGGTGTAGTATTACGTGCCAACTTGGGAAATAGTGAGACGTTGACCGTGGGTGACTCACTTGTGGTCAAAGTCAAAATGTATACATAACTTCTCCTACGTGCTAGAGGTTACCTACTTAGAGTGTTTTAACTTCATTTTTAAACCTAACTAGGGGGCTATGCCCCTGGCCGCTACGCGGCCCAACCCCCAGAAGGCGCTTCGTGCTCTCTTAGGCCCGCTTCGACATGAGAACGACCATATAAAATGAAAATATTTTTATACTCGACTCTCATTGTTCAATCTCCTTCTGGCCGGGATCGATTGGACCAATAAGAATCGAATGAACCAATCGGAAGTAATCTCAAACTTCACGTCAAGACTGAAACGAAACGGAACGAACGGAACTGAGCGTTTCGTCGCTTTTGGATAGTCTGTAGAAAAGAAGCATACCTTGGATTCGCTTACCTTACCCTACTAACATCAGACAAAAATTCGACATTTCCCGGTTAGTTCAATTTTTCGCTGAATTTGAAATTCCCGCCATTTTTCATTGCCGGGAATTTCAAATTTTGCCCCCCCCCCTTTCTACGCTCCCTAGTCTACTCTTATTTAAAAAAAACGTGGGTCCTATTTCCATAATCTGATTACAGCGGGCTCATCTAGGACCCATCGCCTGTCAATAGCAACAAAATCATGGAAATCGGCCCAGTAGAAGCTCAAACGGAATGTGACAAAAAATAAAAATTCACATTGTTTGAATGATATGCAAAAGGAGATCTCGGAGCTTATAGTATAAAATAATGTCATTCGTTCAATTTTTCGGGTAGGCAACTTGCATTCTGGATAGTTAAAATAGTTTGAAATATAAATATATGCAAATATGCAAGATATGCAAATTTAGGAGGTCTCGGAGCTTATAGCAGTGGCGTGGCGTGAATTGCGATGTATCAATTGTTATGCCATTTAAACCTATGGTGAAGAATCGATTATTAAGGTGTTCGCTGCGAACACGCTGTTTATACCTCGAATGGTTAACCAGCCAGCCTAATATAGGTTAAATGTGGTTTAATAATTTTAACTTCCGCCGCTGCGCCGCGCCGTGCTGATCGCACTGTGTTAGGCGCAATGCGTGAAGTATTCCTGCAGTCTTGTAGGCGCTATGCATTTCACGCCAACCGCTCCTGACCACGTGACCGCACTGTGTTTGGCGCAATGGGTGAAGTATTCATGCAGTCTTGTAGGCGCTAATATGTGTTACATGCTGACCGCCGCGCCGAGGGCTTGTCCGATTCATCTCAAGTCCTCGTCATCATTCCTCTCTGCGCTAAGCTCCAGGCAAAATTGCGTGTTTAGTTCCTCATCTTAACTCGACTAATAAAAGATGCTGGCTCTTGTATCACCGAAAAACGACAAAATTAGAAATTACTATACTCTCAGGATAGAGACATTTTGTTTCCTTTTCTTATTGATCATATTTTTTTCTGAATCCGACTTTTTTTATACCTACATTTAAAAAAATCGCAAAATTTGCCGCCATGGGCCACCCCCTTAATCCGGCCCTGGTTTTCTCGAGGAAATGTAATAAAAAACAAGTGGTGAATGCCAACGACGAAATCGGAAGAATGCATTTTCCCAGTTGTTTTCTGCGTTGAATTCACCGCAAACTATATCAAAATCAAAACAAAATGTGTGTAAGTTTGTGTCTCTCTTCCTATAATAACCACAAGTAACGCATGGGCACACATATTTTCATCAGCGTATACAGTGGCCTTGAAGAAGAAAATTGCGACAAAAATGTACCCAAAAACGGTTTGGACTTAAAATGTGGACTTGAAATCGCGAGAAATTAAACTCTTGCCTAATCCTAATTCTGAGACATCGCAATTTGAAATTCTCACCGCACATGCAAGTTTTTTTTACTGATTTTGATCCGTTTTTTTATTCATTTGCCCATTGGATCAGTGTTGATCGGTTCACTTTTTTATTTTTCGTTCGATTCATGATGATATTTTATTTTGCATTTAAACTTAGTTCATGTTTTAGTTTATGTTCAAGGAAAAAACTATATATTTCTGAGCAAGAACTGTTTAGATCAAGTGGAGCTAGCTAGTATGGCAGTAGCACTGAGCCCTAAAACTTTAGGGTCCCGCCCTACGAACTGTAGGTCTCAGCAGTACTGCCATATCAGCTGGCTCCATTTGATCTAAACAGTTAGTGCTCAATACTATATCTTTTTATCCGTATTGAGAAGTGTTTTGAGAATCCCCCATTAAAAGACCATAAAATACAACTCTCTTGTGGTAAAAATATGAATTTAAGAGCTGAAATGTTTTTTATCGTGTATTATACGAGAATTTTCAATTCGCCTTCAGCTGCGTCCGCAGAAATTGTTGTTACGAATATGTTGTGCGTACAGATGTCAGCTCCCTACATACTTGACTCTTTGAAGGCGTTTAATGTGCGAAAGTAGAGCACCCTGTTGGAGAACAACAGAAGTGAGATTGAATAAATCGCACAATCCCTACTTCGTGCGTTCTCCGACAGATTGCGCTACTTGAGCTCATAAAACGCCTTCAGAGAGTCGAGTATGTAATGAGTTGAGATCAGCACTCATAACATAATCGTAACAACAATTGCTGCAGACGCAACTGAAGGCGAATTGCTTTCGCACATGAAACACCCTCAGAGAGTCAAGTATGTATTCAGCTGAAATCAGCACTCACAACATATTCGTAACGACAGTTGCTGCAGACGCAGAAGATCGAAGGCGACTTGTTCAGTTAAAAAAAAAAGAGTTTATTAGGAAGTCTGTATTTTACGTGAACCAATCAACACGGATTCAATGGTCTAATAAATAAAAAAGCGAATCAACATCAATAAAAAACTTGTATTTTCTATGAAAATTTCAGATGTCTCGAAACTAGGATCAGCCAAAATGGAGATGTTGTATGTGTGAGAGATTTGCGATTTGACTATTGATTCTTATGTAAAAGTTTGCGAGAAAAACGATGGTGCCACTGGTTTTCTCTGAAATCAACTCCCAAGCTCAAAAAAAGCTCTCAAGTTGAAGCCAAAATGGAGGGGATATCCCACGCTATCCTAAGAGTCTACATCTACATCAAGACAAATTCTCCATGCGAAGTTAGGGAGCAAATACATTAGCATACATATACATATACATTAGAGTCCCCAAATAATGTGGCAGCCTTGCTAATGTATTTGCTCCCTATCTTTGCATGGAGAGTTCGTCTTGATGTAGAGGTGGACTCTCAGGATGGCGTGGGATATTCCCTCCATTTTGTCCTCAACTTGAGAGCTTTTTTTGAGCTTGGGAGTTGATTCCAGAGAAAACCGGTGGCACCATCGTGTTTTCCGCGAACTTTTACATGAGACTCAGTAGTCAAATCGCAAATTCCTCACACATGCAACATCTCCATTTTGATTTCTTCAGCTGCACCAAGATTCCCCCTGCAAATGGTTTTTTTTTTTTTTTTTTTTTTTTTTTTTTTTTTTTATTATTACTTCAAATAGCCCTCCAGGGCTAATCCCATGCTTTAAGTCCCATCCCCCTTCCGTCCCTACTGAACCAGTCCCAGGCAACCATTGTTTTAGACCGTCAAACTCGGATCGCCTGGCCGGGAATCGAACCCGGGTCCTCCCGATCATAGAGCAAGCGCTACAACCACTACACCATAGGAGGCGGACCGGGGGATTTTTGAGTACATTTTCGACGCATTTTCTCCTACTTCAAGACCACTGTATGTAGTTGTTACAGGCAATGATTGACATGACATGATTTTATTCTTTCCAGGTGTTGCAATCGCCTTATCCTTCGTGTGCCTCGCCGGCGTTCTTGGTTTCGACCAGGACAACGACTGGCAACAAGCGACCTCCATCTACGACTTCACCGCGGAGGACATCCGCGGGAACAAAGTCGACCTCTCCAAGTACAAGGACCACGTCTGCATCATCGTGAACGTGGCCAGCCAGTGCGGGCTCACCGAGACCAACTACAAGCAACTCCAGGAGCTCTACAACAAGTACTCCGAGTCCAAGGGCCTCCGGATCCTAGCCTTCCCGTCCAACCAGTTCCTGAGCCAGGAGCCGGGCACTAACGCGGAGATCCTCGAGTTCACGAAGAAGTACGGCGTCACCTTTGATATGTTCGCCAAGATTGACGTGAACGGAGACAACGCGCATCCCCTCTACAAGTGGCTGAAGAGCCAGAAGGCGGGAAGCGGGTTCCTGACCGACTCCATCAAGTGGAACTTCTCCAAGTTCCTTATCAACAAGCAGGGACAGGTCGTCGACCGCTTCGCCCCCGCGACAGAGCCCCTGAAAATGGAAGACGACCTGAAAAAGTATTTCTAAGATTTAATTACTGCGCAGAGAAAAAATTATGGTGCGCGACCGAGCCCCTGAAAATGGAAGATGACCTGAAAAAATATTTTTAAGATTTGATTACTGCCCACGCAGAAAAAAGTAGATGGTGCTGACGACAGAACCTTTTGTTCACACGGCTCCCGCATTTTCTTTGTTACACTTACGGGATTTTTCTGTTGTGAGGACAGAACTTCGGTCGTGGGAACAGAGTATTCTGTCCTCATAACGGAAGCTTCAGTGACTGTAACCAAGAAACTGCGGGAGCCGTGTGAACAAGAGGTTCTGTCGTCAGCACCATCTATTTTTTTCTGTGCAGAGAAAAAATTATGGTGCGCGGCCGAGCCCCTGAAAATGGAAGACGACCTGAAAAAGTATTTCTAAGATCTAATTACTGCGCAGAGAAAAAATTATGGTGCTGACGACAGAGCCCTCTATTCACAGGGTTCCTGCAGTTTCTTTGTTACTCTTACATGATTTTTCTGTCGAGAGAACAGAACTTCGGTCGTAAGAACAGAGTACTCTGTCCTCATAACGGAAGCTCCTGTGACTGTTACAAAAGAAGTGCAGGACCCCTGTGAACAGAACTATTTTTTTCAGTGATAAGGTTTGAAAATACATAATCGACGGTGAAACTACCAAACCACGTATCTCGGTTTGCGACGTCGCAGACTTCCTGTCATACTTTATTTTTTAAATGAAAAACTACTTAACATCTAGTTCTGAAAATTTCTGTGATTTTTCCTCTTTGTGCGGAGAAAATTCCGTGAAAATTTCAAGGAATGATATTGATTTGGTCTACTTCAAAAAAATAAAATGTGAGCGTAGATTTTTAAACACCGCAAACGAGATACGTGGTTTGGTAGTTTCACCGTCGTAATGTCAACGCTGCCGTGCTGAGGAAAAACGCCGTATGAGCCCTCAGGCGTTGCCATATTTTCTTTAATTACCAACTAATTTACCGGGCAAATTCTGAATATTGTTCTTCTGATTTTTCAGAAAATTTTGTTCCCAATTCAATCTAAACTATCGGAAAATGTTAAGGAAAAATACGCATAAATTTCTACAAAAACACATGTTTTACTCGGGGGAAATTTGGCAACCCTCGAATGTTCATACGGTGTTTTTCCTCAGCACGGTAGAACGGTCAGAGGCGGATTCAGCCAGCAATTTGCGATACCGGATTAACTCCATTTAAACCTGCGTTAAATAATCGATTATTGTCGGAGCACCTGGCCTCTCCAAGAATCGCTACATTTCCATTGGTTTAAATGAAGAAAAACAATGTTGCCAATTTGCTGGATCCGCCGATGTCGACGGTTAAATCACGGAAACATGGATCTCGATTACCGAAGTAGCACAATTTCCAAATTTCACGATGATTTCATGCGATTGAAAGACAGGAGCCAATGGAGAGCCTAGATTTCGATCCGTTGACGTCGATGTATCGAAATCAAGGCTCTCCATTGGCTTTCCTCTTTCAATCGCGGCGATCAATCGCCGTGTGTATCTAGGCCTTTCCTGGTAAAACGTCAATCCACGCGAGGAAATTTGGCAACATTGAAATGTAGCTACGCTCTTTCGTGGGGAAACGACGAATTGTGCCAGGGTGTTGTGTGTGTTGTCTATTCGCTGATGGAAGGGGCTCCTCTTTTCGAATACCGAACCCGAACGATATACCTGTTTTCCTGGTTTACCAATGATGAGAAGCTTGTGCTGACTGGTTTTTTTATCAATCAGAATAAGACCTTGATTGTCAACTGTAAGTTATTCGAATTCGTTGCAAAAACTTAGTAGGAGAAAAATATTGTTCAATTAATTCATTTATATCAAGAATGAAATATTGCTCTGATTGGGTGCACAATTATGACAAGAGTTCCGACAATAAATTCACCCGTTTTCAAATTATTCAGTTTCTATTTTTGTTTTCTTTTTGGATGATGATGTTGTTGTTTTTATAATTTTAGAGAAAATAAAATCATATGCATACTAATGCTGTTATGAATTTGAAACCTTTTTTTCTCACTTAAAAATTGAATTTTCATGCGAGAAATTAAATTTATACGACAATTTTCTCAATTAATTAACATTTTTTGGCGGACATTGATCACAGCTATATACATTCCAGGTAAATATAGTTACAAAATTTTGTACTGTAGTTCTTTTGGTTCAATTTTGGAAAATGCTTCGCTTACTGCTCTATTCCGTAATGCAGCAGGGGATGGTGCTTTTTTATTATTTTTTTACCCTGAACTATAGCAGTTTATAACAAAACAAAAAGCTTTAGATGAAGGTTGTTATAGTGAACATATTTGTGAAGGAAGGAATTTCTTCTGAGCCAGTTATATTTGTCGAAATATTTCACAAGGCCAATCTGAAAAAAGGCAAAACACAAACATCCTATTAAAAATTATTGCATAAAAATTAAATCTGTGATTCTTGTTACAAACTTTGAATGAACGTCAAACAAATTGTTGCGGCTTTATTCAACAAAGCATCAACAGTCTTGATAACACGGAATTTACTTGACCAACATTAAAATTAACATTTAAATCAGTTCGTCTGAGGAGAACCGGCATTTGTGTAGCAGATAAGAGCCAGCCACGGAAGTCAACAAACTGTTGTTATCGAATCAGTATTACACGAGCTCTCACAATATTTGTAATTATTGAAAATATCTGACCATAAGCGCCGAATGGGAGTTTGATTGACCTCCCTTTCCCGTACCAGACCGATTCATAATTTAATAAACAACCCTTATCAAACACACGGAAAATCGTGGTTAGCTGTAAACAATGTGTGAATATAGTGTCAAGTTACGTCTACAGCGAGGAGAAAAAACGAAGAAAACTTACGCCCTCCCAGTAGTGAAACATGAATAATTTAGTATCGATGTTGCCCCTTTTCAAGCTGTGGCAAAGAATCGATTATTGAGGTGTTCGTTGCGAACACCCTGTTTATCGATCCTTTTCCATAGGTCTAAATGTTAGATCAATCGATATATTGCAAAGCTCTCCACTCCGCTGATCTAACTTCCATCTATCCTCAATGGGAATGTTGCATGTGTGAGGGGTTTGCGATTTGACCATTGATTCTTATATAAAAGTTTGCGAGAAACATGATGGTGCCGCTGGTTTTCTCTGAAATCATCTCCCAAGCTCAAAAAAAGCTCTCAAAGTGAAGCCAAAATGGAGGGGATATCCCATCCTACCCTGAGAGTCCACCTCTACATCAAAACAAACTCTCCATGCAAAGATAGGGAGCAACACTAATCTGTGGGGAGCAAATACATTAGCAGGGTTGCCGTGTTTTCAGTTTTGGAGTCCCCAAATGAAGTGGCAGCCCTGCTAATGTATTTGCTCCCTATCTTTGCATGGAGAGTTTGTTTTGATATAGAGGTGGACTCTCAGGGTAGGGTGGGATATCCCCTCCATTTTGGCTTCACTTTGAGAGCTTTTTTTGAGCTTGGGAGATGATTTCAGAGAAAACTAGTGGCACCATCGTGTTTCTCGCGAATTTTTACAAAAGAATCAATAGTCAAATCGCTAACTTAAACATGCAACATCTCTATTCTGACCCGAAACATTTATCAGGCACTTCGAACCATGGAAAGGTCGTGTCAAGATAAAGACCTGCGTCAAAATGCAAAAATTAGAAGAAGGTGGGTCCCTCCAGAGATTATCAGCCCTCGGGAACCAAAGATCATGAAATGTGTCTTGGTGGATCTATAGTATTAAATGCGAAAAAAAGGTGATTTGAGGGTTCAGAACAGAGCTTGCAAAATTGACAAATCCTCTCTATTCTAATAAAATCATTTTTAAGACGATCGATGGACGGGGTGAGGAAGGAGAGTCAGACGGTCCAATCCAACCCTGCTAAAAATGATGAGTAGGCTATTCAGAATTTGCCGACTCACATGAGTAGAATTTCCTACTTATATGAGTAGAAATCCTACTCATATCACTAGAATATTCTACTCATAAGAGTAGAAAAGTTCAACTCATATGAATTCAATTTTTTTCATTTTTCAGAAGTGGTCAATACACCGACATTACTTGTAACTTTGAAAAATAAGAACATTTTGTTCTTGTAATTTTTTTGATGCGGTGACTAGTTTCTGAGATATTGGACACGGTAGATTCAACGCTGAACTCATGTGAGTTGAAATCTCTAGTCATATGAGTTGGAATCTCTAGTCATATGAGACGGCGAAAAGTGAATAGAGAAATTCTGCTCATATGAGTTAAATTCTATTCATTTAAGTTGAAGTTCTATTCACATGAGTTGAAATTCTATTCATATGAATTGAAATTCTATTCATATGACTTTGATTTTCTACTCATTTGTACTCACCATTTTTAGCAGGGAAATGTCGAATTCCAGAGAAGGAATCAAAATTCAGAGAAAGGAGGAAGTAATTAAGAATATTGTTCGGCGGGAAATTTTTCTTTGAAACATCGTTTTGCTATTCAATTAAAATTATTTGCTCACTAACCGCCAACGGGCGATTTCGACAATTTCGCCGGCCGCGAAGCGGCCTTTAGGGGTCGAACCGCGTAGCGGCAAGAGGGCAGACCCCCTATTATTCCAATAACGTGAGAGGAATTTTACAGTCAAGCAGGGGCAGACCCCCTAAGGGCCTAAGGGACAATCCTCTCACAGGCTTAGGCCAAAGGACGTCGCGTCACACAATGGATCGAGTCAATTAGAAAGGGCGGACATGGAATTTTTGACTGAAATTGCAAATTGTGATGTTTATTTCGTCAAATTTTAAATTTCAAGGGGTGCCTCTAGAGGAAAATTTTACGAGGAATTCGATCTAACCACTTTTAGAACCTCAACGTTTTGCGTAAACGGAGTTGTAAGCGTTTAAAGTTTCAAAAATTTGTCCGACCGTTGCCATTGGCTCGATCCACCGTGCGTCGCAGGGGCCCCTATTGGCAAAATTTAGGTCCTCATTTGGCGATTTTCGTTTTTATAATTTTTTAATCGACTCTACATCGGCCACTAACTCAGCTGCATGCACATACAAATGGAGATGTTGCATGTGTGAGGGATTTGACCATTGATCCTTATGTAAAAGTTCGCGAG